GCCCGGCGGGGCAGGCACGCGAGGCCGCCCCAGCTCTCGGCACGTCGCACGGCTGCGCCACGCCGAGGGACGCTCCCGTGAGCCGGAGGGGACGGAGGGCGCGCGGCAGCGGACGCTCCGCCAGGCACCCCATCTGCATCGCCCCTCCAAAGTGCCCAGGGAGAGGCTCGATGCGCTTTTGGCTCCGGGGCAATTCCAAAAAAGCCTTTTGGATCAACACAACTATTTCTGTCCTAACCACAGTATTTCGTTACGATGCTGTGCGTTCACTGTTTTTCAGCCCAAATAAGAGACTTTTCTAACCCGACAGCCAAAAGCCGAGCTGTCCTCACATGGGAGATGAAGGCCCATCAGGGCCAACACTCCTCCCTCCCCCTGCAGAACCGGGTATCAGGCCTCTAAGGCAGCTCTGGGTGACAACCTACCATGAAGTCATGGGTGGGACGACCTCTCGAGGTCAAGTCATTGCCCTGCCCTGAAGCAGAGGTGGCTACATCTCCATCATCGTGAGTCTGCCCTGGACCAAGGGTGGCTCTTCACCACCTTCCTGCCACCTCCAGAAAGGTTCTGCCTAACACCCAGGTCTTCCCCAGTGCACTCAAGCCCATTATTTTTTTGTCACGCTCACACGGGCCAGAGCAAACAGAGGAAGCAATGCCTTCCGGCGTGCGGCAGCTCTTAGAGCGTTTGCAGAACACTGCTGGAAGAAGGAAAAAAAAAACATATTATTGAGCTGACAATGTCAAAATGGCATTTCTGATTGCTCAGCCTAGGTGGGGGAAGGGCATCTGCAACCAACAACACGGCAAAACAGACACGAGCACACAAAAAAGTCACATTTGTATTTATATTTGCCTGGGAAAAAAATTGCCGGAAAATATTACCCTTCTGCATATAACCACTGTGTCCCGAGGATGCATAATTTTGGCTTTTTCCAAGAAAGGGCTCCAAATCAACAATAGCAGCAGGGCTTTGGGCTACTTCTCATGACCAAGGGACATGCTTAGGCCGTTTGTTAGGGCTGATGCTTCTCCGGGACGGGCAGGTCGCCTGTGCACGGGTCTACGCGCCGCCTTGCCTTTGCAGCGCTCCACCGCCGCC